CCCAAAACTTTGTCTTCAAAATAAGGGTGCGTCTAATATTCCGAAAAATTCAGTAAGTGAAAAGTACAGAGAAATGTACCAAAACAACTTTTATTCGAACTGGTCAGAAATAATTCTAAATTCTCCAAATCTGACCAGGTTTGTGAAAGACACAAACTGGACATAAAATGCGAGATAAACAATTAAATCAACCTTTATCAAAACAAACCATATGTATGTGTGTGTGTTCAGTATGATGGACAGTCACCTTTACTGAAGAGTTAAAAGCTGTTTAATCTTGTGAAGTTATCAAGAAAAGCTGGGAAATATTACATCCTGTTAAAGATTGAGAAAATAATGTTATATACTTAAAACTAGAAAGTCACATTTTCCCAGGACAACTTGAGTTATGATCGTGCTATACCCACCATTTATTTTCTCTTTTGTACATCAACTTTAATTATGATGTACCTATTCCTATCAGGAATTGACTCACATCAATGTAGGCATAATATATTGCTAATACTACAGGTAATGAATAACATATACGTTAGAAATAGGTTTTTAGTTTCTAAGTGGCAGTATATTACTTGTTTGCTACACCTCTCTCAATTTATTGATCCTACCTAGTCTTCCCTTCTTTTGTTGAACTCCTGTTGTTGTATCCCTTTCACGAATGCACTCCAAACCAGTCTCTTTGTTTTACACATTGCTCCTTCCACCCACATATCCGATTATAGCATTTCTTAACCATAGGTGATGGTCTTGTTGTCACCATAACAACTGAATAAGACTTGGTCGCTATACTTGTCTACTCCAATCATTTTCTAATGATTTGGAATATTGTAATTCCCTATTTTCTTAGAGACTGAGAATAGGCCAAACACTTTCTTACATTCACTCAGCATGATAGCTTACACCTCACTTTATAACAGCTAGCTCTACCCATACTATTGAGATACCAACAGACATGGTAATATCAAAAACTGCTATCTTCACACAACAAGTACAACTTCACAGTTATCTTCCAGTGAATGACACAGAACAACAGATAGCTAGATCAAAAGGAACTTTACAACTTTTTTGACCATGTGGAAACTGCACATATATCTGAATAAATGAAAAATTCTATATTAATAGAAGGAGGTAGAATGGAATGGCTGTACACCACACAAATAAGACTAGAAAAAGTCATAAATAAGCTCCTGCTATTAAATAATGGCAGACATTTAGCAGCAGTAATATGCTGATCTTTACAATGTCTTATACAATTAATGCTCTATTTTAATGTATAAAACAACACAAATAATAGTGAATTTGTATAAAATTTATTTTTTTAATTATACGAAACTCCTTCAATTTTACAAAGCAACAATACATTAATGGCTCTTATTTTAAGAAATATACAGCGTGGCTCAATCCATAGTTGTCTCACATACTCTTGCAGTCCATGTGCTATTGATCTATAGAATTTTAAAAAATTAGTATATTCCTATGACAACTTTTGAACCATCTGCTCATTAACTTTTAAGGCCTATAGTAGTAGATATTATATATATACAAGTGTGATTATTTATGCACTTAAAAGGAGTACACTGCCAGGCGATTTTTCTACTTCTCATGTGTAGAAAGGATTGTTAGTTAAAGTAGTCCAAAACTGCTCAGAACTGCAGTGCTCTTCAGCTTGTTATATTATGACCACAGATTAACTCTGTTTTGTGTAATGTACTAAAATGTATGCAAGATTGACATTTCTTTTAGACAAACTGTTCGTAATGAATGAGGATGAAAAAGTAAAACCATACAGGGAATTTATATTCATTTTATTTCCACTGCATTTCAGGTAGCTGCCCTTCTCAAGTTAAACAGCTGATGAAGCTTCACATTTCTGATTAAAACAATTTCAAGTTATAATACTTTAAAGCACTGAAAATTAAAAGCTACCACACAACCGAGTTGCATGAAATATTCTTATAGAATGTACAGAAATTATACTGATGTAAAACTTTTCATTACATGTATATACAATACAGGTTTTATCATTTCTCAAGATCGAAGTATCTGTATTACCAAGATGTTGGACCTAAGGCATTCATATCAAAGTTGGAAAAAGCACATTTACGGTAGCTCATGGCAGGAGCCGATATCTTCCGCATACGTGTTTCACCTCTTTTAGTTCCTGCATAGGATTTCTTTTCTGCTAAAGCTGAAGGCATGTCAGGAGCCTCTTTAATTGATGAAAGAGGTGCATTGAAGCTTGCAGTGTTTCTACCATATGACAAAAATCCAGAGGTAACCAAGTTGGACGGAGTTGAATCCATAGACAACTGTTGTAGATTACCTTCAAATACTTTACGTGCCAATTTAGGAGAGCCGAATGGAGAAACATTAGGAGTGGGTTCTTTTGACATATTCGTATTGCTGGATTGGTAAAGTAGCGAAGAAGATGCCGAGGTGACTAGTGTGTGTCTGGAATGGGCTTCTGTTAAAATTTAAAAAATAACAACACATCAATGTAGTAGCTATCTATTTTACACTACACACACACACAATTTAAAAAACTTCATTACTCTAATTATCCTTAAAACTTCCTCAAAGTCAGAACTTAAAATAAGTGCTTAACGAAAATCTAATGTCTTAAGAAATAAAACCAAAACTGCATAGCATAAATAGATGAGTACATGTACTTGTTGTATATGCCATATGTATTGATTGGAATACTAAATGTAATTTCTATCAATAAAAAGTATGAATACCTCAACACTTGCGGTAAGTCAAACATAAAATTTCAACACTGAAAATTACAGATTTCATCCTGTATCATAAAATGCTTTTTCACAAAATTTGTCCAACAGTTTTAGGACAACATAATTTTACTGACAATATTTTAAACATTTGGTTACTGGATGACAGCTGTAAAAAAAGTGATACTGGTTCTAGATAATGGCCCAATAATAACTCTGTGATCTTTAGCTTCCTATCAGATATAATACCATAAATTATAAGTTGATCTCTGTAACTTTCACTGCCATCATGAAGAAAGCGTATTCCCCTAGAAATTTCACAAAGTTTACCTGTTTCAGATCACTAGTGAAATATTAAAACACATCTTTTTCTTTATTATAGTAAACATGGAAAAAGAAATGTTAAGTACCATATTTTATGCCCTTTTTTTTGGGTAAAGAAAGCATTTTTTTTTGGCAATCAATGTCTTTTCAGTTCTTTCAGTATACTTTTCTATGACTGAATATTTTCGTTATTTTACCTCTGTCCAACATACCTTTTTAAAAAAAGTGTGTTAGCTTGGTGTTTTACCTTGTCTTATTTACCAAACTCAACAGCATGTAACATCCAAATATATCCATGCACATTTCTCATCTGCTACTCATATTATCTTGTAACCAAACATGCTGACTTTCATGCTAGTCCAATGCCAGCGTGTACAGTTTTATCTGCTTCTAACAAAAGGTATAAGAAACTTTTCACTTTAACCATCCCATGTATGACTGATAAGCTCTAGCTTAAAATGCTACTTTAAGATCTCATTGATGTTTTGTTCCACACTTCCAAGAAAACAAGCAGCTTTTGACAAACTTATTGTTATTTCTTTCACTGATACTCAGTATTTAAAATTGTCTTGGCTAGAAATACGGATAAGATTATCTGTCTAAGGTCAGACTATTCCATGTACTAGAATTTCATATCTATTCTTTAACATTTAAATAGGGTAGGGGCTGGCTTGTTTACTAAGGATATTAACTCAGCTGTAACAGAAATTGTAAACTAGGACTAGAGAGCGTTGAGGGCCAGGAAAAACTAAATGCAAAAAGAATAAGAGGCAGAGAAAAGTTTAGCATAGGAAATGAGTATAGAAGTAGTTATAAGGATAGGCTTATCATAATGCTAGAAGTATAAGAAATAAAATACATGACTTAAGAGCACTGGTAGGAATGAATGATTTTGATATAATGGGAATAACTGAAACATGGTTGAATGTAGATGATTGTGATGACAGAAATTTCTTTGAAATACAGGGTTACAGGCTATTTAATAGGGAGGGGGGGGGTTATATGTGAAATGTGAGTTACATCCTGTTGAAGTTGAGGATATTAAAGATAATAGCAAGGAGATTGAATCCATTTGAGTTTCTATTAGTGGATACAAAGGGAAAAGGCTTTTAGTGGGAATTTGTTATAGACCACCAAATGATACTGGTGAAATTAGTGTGAGAAACTTTACACTGAGATAAAGATTTCAGCTGTTAATGAAGTCAAAATTATGGGTAATTTTAATTTCAGGCATATACATTGGGAAATTCTAGAGTCAAACTTTGAGGGAGAAAGGTTTTTGGAAACTGTTCAGGATGGCTTTCTTCACCAATTAGTCAAGGAACCTACTAGGAACAATGCCATTTTAGATTTATTGTTAACTTCAAATACAGAAATGATCTAGAAGGTGGGAACATCTGTGTGTAAGTGATCATTGCTCTATTAGGTTTGATGTTTTGCTAAATATGCAGATAAGGAATAATGATATTTTAGTTACATATTTCAAAAAAACAAATTTTGAAGGGATGCGACAAGAATTATCTGTTGTGGATTGGGCACCTGAATTATTTGGAGACACTGATCAGATGTGGGAAATTTTTAAAAATAAATTATTAAATAATCAAGGTAAACATTCCTTATAGAAAGAAAAGGGTAGCTCCAAGTAAAAAAAAAACCAGGTTGGCTCACAAAAGGTTCAAGAGATAAAATTAAAGAAAAGCATCATAAGCTTAAAAAAGTTGGTGAAACAGGATATTAGGACATCATGAAGGATGCACAAGAAAAGGTTATGTTAATTTTTACATTTTCAGCCAATGTTTTGGAACAACATGGACCTATTGCTCCATCTTGGCTGTTCCATCCTCTAAACTAAATTAAGATAATTAAAACAAAATCTTGAAGCCAGCCCTTATCATTCATATATCTATCAAATTTTTTCTTAAACTCGCTTAAATTTACTGCCTCTATAACATCCAAAGGCCAACCACCCTGTTAGAAAAATGAAACTGTCTTAGCTGAAGATGACTCCTACGTTGCCAAAACTAGCCTATTATCTGGCCCAGGAGCCTTATTATTTTTAAACTTCCCAATTTTTTCTTAACCAGCTCATATTTAGTGCAGTCATCTTGTTTGATCTCATTTCTATTTATCAACTTTTCCAGATGTAGAATACTGCTTAAATCTTTGTTAGTGAAAATCAAAAATTTAATATCCCAGCCATCTCAATCATCAGACATGAGCCTTCCTTTATTATCCCTCAAGAGTCTTACTCCCATCTTAAC